TCACCCATAAAACAGAAGTGATAGTAGAATGGAATGGAAACCAGAAATCAGCACTGGGTTCTTTATGAGAGGCTCACTTGAAACTGAAAGACACATACACAGAGTTAATGTAAGAGACTGGAAAAGAATATGTTATCCTTTATCAGAAATGAAAAAGGCAGGGGTAGCAATCATGATCTCAGACAGAGCAAAAGAAAATAAGAGACCTAACTAAAAGAAACAATCAGAGAAACTACATCTTGCTAAAAGGTATCATAGACAATGAAGTAATATTAAAAAAATTTTACAAGCTTCTCTGATAAAGGCCTCCTTTCTCCAATATATAAGGAACTGAGTCAACTTTATTGAAACAAGGACCAATACCTCGTTCAGAAATGGTCAAAAGATATGAATAGGCAGCTTTCAGAAGAAGAAATCAAAGCTATCTGTAGTCAGATAAAGAAATGCTCTAAATCCCAATTGATTAGAGAAAGACAAAATTTTTTAAATTAATTTACTTTGAATTATCAACAAACACTTTCATAAGCTTTTCAGTTTTAAATTTTTCTCCCCCTCTCTCCCCACCTCCCTCCACACGATGGCATGCAATCTGATATGGGCTATACATGTCCATTCTTATTAAACATATTTTCACATGAATGATGTTGTAAGTCAGAATTAGAGACAATAGGAGGTACTACCAGAAAGAGGAAACAAAACACAACAGAAGAAAAAAATAGTAAATAGTATGCTTCAATTGGCATTTAGACTCCATAGCTCTTTCTTCTTTGTGGATAGCATTTTCCATCATGAGGCCTTTAGAGATGTCTTAGATCCTTGTATTGCTGAGAAGGTTTAAATTTATCAATATTAGCCATCACAGAACATGGACATGATTGTGTACAACGTTCTCCTGGTTCTGCTCACTTCACTCAGCATCAGACCATATAAGTCTTTCCAAGTTTTTCTGAAGTCAACCTGTTCATCATTTCTTAAACCACAGTAGTATTCCATTACATTCATATAACTTGTTCAGCCATTCCCCAATTGATGGGCATCCTCTCAATTTCCAATTCTTTGCCATCACAAAAAGAGCTGCTATAAATATTTTTGTACATGTGGGTCCTTTTCCCATTTGTATGATCTCTCTAGGATATAGCCCTAGAAGTGCTATTACTGGGTCAAAGGGTATGCACATTTTTATAGCCCTTTGGGCAGAGTTCCAAATTGCTCTCCAAAATGGTTGGATCATTTCACAACTCCACCAACAATGCATTAGCCTTCCAATTTTCCCACATCTTCTCCAACATTTATCATTTTTCTGTTTTGTCATGTCGGCCAATCTGATAGATGTGATGTAGTACCTCAGAGCTGTTTTGATTTGCATTTCTCTAATCAATAGTTATTTAGAGCATTTTTTCATATGACTATAGATGGCTTTCATTTCTTCATCTGAGAACTGCCTGTTCATCAAAGTCAAAGCTCCTACATCCAAAGCCTCCAAGAAAAATATGAATCAGTCCCAGGCCCTTGGAAGAGCTCAAAAGGGATTTTGAGAAGCAAGTAAGGGAAGTAGAGGAAAAGCTGAGAACGATGCAAGAAAATCACAAAAAACAAGTCAACAGCCTTCTAAAGGAGACCCAAAAAAATACTGAAGAAAATAACACCTTAAAAAATAGCCTAACCCAAATGGCAAAAGAGGTCCAAAAAGCCAATGATGAGAAGAATGCCTTAAAAAGCAAAATTGGCCAAATGGAAAAGGAAGTCCAAAAGATTACTGAAGAAAACACTTCCTTAAAAATTAGAATAGAGCAATTGGAAGATAGTGAGTTTATGAGAAATCATGACACAGTAGAACAAATCCAAAAGAATGAAAAATTAGAAAACAATGTGAAATATCTCATTGGAAAAACAACTGACCTGGAAAATAGATCCAGGAGAGACAATTTAAAAATTATTGGACTATCTGAAAGCCATGATCACAAAAAGAGCCTAGACATCATCTTTCAAGAAATTATCAAGGAAAACTGCCCTGATATATTAGAACCAGAGGGCAAAATAGAAATTGAAAGAATCCACAGATCTCCTCCTGAAAGACACCCCCAAAGGAAAACTCCTAGGAATATTGTAGCCAAATTCCAGAGTTCCCAGGTCAAGGAGAAAATATTACAAGCTGCTAGAAGGAAACAGTTCAAGTACTGTGGAAACACAATCAGGATAACACAAGATTTAGCAGCTTCTACATTAAAGGACCACAGGGCATGGAATATAATATTCCAGAGGGCAAAGGAGATAGGATTACAACCAAGAATCACCTACCCAGCAAAACTGAGTATAATCCTTCAGGGGAAAAAATGGTCATTCAGTGAAATAGAGGACTTTCAAGCATTCTTGATGAAAAGACCAGAGCTGAATAGAAAATTTGACTTTCAAATACAGGACTCAAGTGGAACATGAAGAGGTAAACAGGAAAGAGAAATCATAAGAGACTTATTAAGATTGAACTGTTTACATTCCTGCATGGAAAGATGATATTTATAACTCATGAGACCTTTGTCAGTATTAGGGTAGTTGGAGGAAAAAAATATATATGTATATGTAGATAGATAGATAGAGGGCACAGGGTGAGTTGAAGATTAAGGGGTCATATCTGGAGAATAAAATTAAGGGATGAGAGAGGATTATACTCAGAGAAGAAGAAAGGGAGAGGTAGAATGGGGTAAATTATCTCACAAAAAAACAGAAAAGAAAAGTCTCTTACAGTGGAGGGGAAACGGGGGAAGGTGAGAGGAATGAGTGAATCTTATTCTCATAGGATTTGGCTTAAGGAGGGAATAACAACACATTCAATTGGGTATGGAAATCTGTCTTACCCTACAGGAAAATAGGGGGAGAAGGGGACAAGAGAGCAGGGGGATGATAGAGAGGAGGGCAGATTGGGAAAGGGGTAATCAGAAGTAAATACTTCTGAGGAGGGACAGGGTCAAAAGAAAGAATAGAATAAATGGGAGGGCAGGATAGCGATTAAGGGAAATAGAGTTAGTTTTTCACAACATGTCTACTATGGAATGTTTTGCATAACTGCACGTGTACAACCTATATTGAGTTGCTTGCCTTTTCAATGAGGGTGGGTGGGGAGGGAGGAAGAGAGAAAATTTGAAACCTAAAGTTTTAAAAACATATGTTTTAAAAAAATGTTTTCACATGCTACTGGGAAATAAGAAATATAGGAAATGGGGTACAGAAGTCTATCCTGCCCTACAGGAAAATAGAAGGGGAAGGGGATAAGAGAAGGGGAGAGAGATAGAAGAGAGGACAGACTAGGGGAAGAGATATTCAGAATGCATGCCATCTTGGGGTGGGAGGAGGGGGGAGATGGGGTATAAATTTGGAATTCAAAAACTTATGGGAATGAATGTTGAAAGCTAAAAATAAATAAATTTCTATTGAAAAAATAAATAAAATTAACTGACCTTTGGGGGGAAAAAAAGAACTGCCTGTTCATATCTGAGAAAGGCAAAATTTTAATAGTATTTTATTTTTCCTCAATTACATGTCAAGACAATTTTTAGCATTCATTTTTACAAGATTTTGAGATCTAAACCATGCCTCTAGAAGTCCATTCCCTAGTCAAAAGCCCATCACTCTATCCTAGTTACAACACTGTCTGGACTCTTTTGCCAAGCTACAGCTGGCCATATGTTCACAGGCTGCTGAAGAAAAGGCAGTAGATGTTGAGATTTCAGTTGCATTTCTCTTGACTCTTTGTAGACGTGAGAGTGAGGGTGAAAACTTGAGAGCTCTGCTGCCTGTGTGCCTATATTTAAGTCTAGAGTAGGAAGAGGGAGTCTCTAATTAAGAGCATTAGCAATGAGTAAATACTAGGGCAAATGAGGGGTTTGCCACTCTAGCCTGTGTAGGGAGCTCTGACTGTCTGAGAGGCTCTCAGTCCTAGCGTGATATTGCTTTGGGGAAACTGGGATGAGACATGGGGGTCTGGTTTCACTTCTTGAGAGTAAAATTCTTTCTTATTTAGAGGGAAGAGTCTTTCTTCCTCCTCTTCCCATATACAATACTGATGGCTTGCTCACAAGAATCACTGGATTAGATTCTCTAAAGCTGATTCTGTCTAAGTAGGGAGCTCGTTCCCAGGGTAATGGAGTCAACTTCAACTCTGGCTTCTCCATCATGGGCCTCATCCAGTCAGTTGCCAGATCCGATCAATTCTGCATCCTAGCCTGTCCACTTCACCTTTCCCATCCAAATCCTCTTTTCCACTCCTGTAACCACCAGCTTAGAGCAAACCCTCATCACCTTTCACCTATTGCAATAGCCCCTGACTGGTCCCCCTGTGTCTAATCCCTCCCTTCTCCACTCCACCCTAGACAGAGCTTCCTAATGAAATTCTCTTCCTAATGAAAATATAATCTTGTCACTGCCCTGCCTTCAGAGACACTCTACTATATATGGGATAAATTACAAATTCCTGGGGAAGGCCTGATATGTAAGACCCTCTTGGCCCCTTCCTAACTGCAACACTTAAACTACACCCCTTAATGGCTCTAAATATTTTGCTGGCAGACTAGATTTCTAGCTGTTCCATAGCATTATCTTGACCTACCCGAAGAGAGTTCCCTGTGCCTGGGATGTATCCCTCCTCCTGTCTGCCTGCTAAAAGCCTTCTCTTCCTCCAAGGCCCAGCTCAGACACCACTTCTTCCAGGAAGCCTTCATAGGTCTATTGCCCCCCACAGACCTAACCCAAAAGTGATTTCTCTCTCAGTTTTCCTAGACCACTTTGTCTAGATGTTGCCTGTTCCCAACACACAGCCACATGGTACATTGTGTGCTTACATAACTGCTTCCTCTCCCACCCCTCCTAGATCATAAACTCCTTAAGTCAGAGACTATATGCAGTGGTTTTCATCTTTTTACGTGCAGTCTAAGAGTGCATGATAAGTACTTAAATGTTCAGCCAGAAATGAGCTGAATGGAGAAGAACTCTGAGAAACCATGGAGGCAGAGAGAGTAAAACTGGAGTTTATTAATCTGAGGAGACCAAGGCAGAGCGCAGGGCCTTAAACAGAAACTGAGGCTCAGTCTCACATTGCAGTCTAACAATTTCCACAAAAATCAATATGAAAGTGCCTCAATATTCTGCCAGCGCCTCTTCCCAGGGGCCTTATTAGTTTCCAGATTCCACCTCTCTTGATCTTTTCAGGCTGCAGAGGAAAAACAAACAGACATTCTTAGTCCAGGGCCTCTGGGGGTCAGGCTGAGGAGGGAAGACAAACCTGCCCACCAGGGAATGAGTAACTTAGAGCTTCATGAGACTCAGACCTCAGAGAGCCCTCCACAGTGTCTGGGGCAACCTCCCCCTTAGAAAGGAGGAAACTTAAGACAGACAGTGGTACAGCTGGCAGACCCAGGCCTCAAGCCCAAATCTTCAGCCTTGCGACTCTAAACCCAGTGCTCCTCCCAGCACACAAAGCTAAAGCCCAGGGACTTCTTCATGTTCATTTTGAAAATGATGAAAAGTCTTCCCAGGATACCCTCCTCCTGTATTTGTGCTCAGGAGATGTAGAGGACAATGAGAGGTCCTTACCACACCCCTTAAAACCTTCTACCCTCCAGGAGCACTTGTTCACTTTGACTATGCCCCTGGCATGCCCACACCTGAACTCACAGCCCCCCTCTTTAGAGTGGCTGGCAGGAACACTGGCTGTGGCATTTGTAGCTCTACGACATTTTGGGTAAGATCACCTCACATCTCTGAGCCTCAGTTTCCTTCTCTGTAAATTGGGGAAGGGTGAGTTAGACTACATAATATTTAGGGCTCCCTCCGGTTCAAAATCCTCTGATTGCTTCTTTGGAAACGCAGGTCTAGGCTCTTGCTCTCCCATTAGCCTTCTCTAATTCCCTCTTGCCCTAGGACTCTGAGGCCAGAGACCTCTCTAGCTCCAGAGCTGGGGTTGGGTGAGGTGGATGGGGGAGAGAAATGCTCCTGCCTCTGTATCTACAGCCCTTCCTGGAACCTGGAAGAAGAAAAGAGAGGCTGGGCTGAGGCTAAGGTTGGAGAGGGCAGCATGGTCAAAGTCGGTCCCAAGCCCCTCCAGCTGCAGATCAGTCCCAGCAGCCCCCAAGACAGAAGGCACCATAGATCCCTAGTGGACTCTGCAGGTTTGGGCTCTTCTCCTAGCCCCCACTGAGGATTCAGCACTTACCCCATCACAGGAAATATCAGCAGAGGGCTTAGGAGAATCCAGGGCAATGGCTCCAAGGCATTCTTTCACCACCTGTGAAGGGTTGCAGAGAGAGTTCAGGACTGCCAGTCTGCAACCTCTGCCCCTGACATGCCAGGATTGACAACAGGCTCAAGCTTTGCCCCAAGCCAGCGCACTGGGAGGGTTTTCTGCTGCTCATCTTGGGGGATTCACTTTGCTCAGGGCAGCAGGAAGCAGAGCTCAGCACCCTCCCTGCTCCAAGGTGGCAACGTCTCCAGAAAGAGACTCATTCAGTCAGTCTCCCTCCCCAGCCCAAGACACTCTCACCCCATTTTCCTTGAAGTCACATTCATCCGGATTGCGATTTTCAGTATTGGGGCACACGGTCTCCCTCATGGTGAAGCTCAGAAGTCGAGGAGCAGCAGCATCATTGTTCTGGGGAGGAAGGCAGCACAACCTTTAGACCTAGGCCTCACCTGAGGGCCTGTGGGGCCAGGATCAAGCTACTTAGTGCTGGAAGGGACCTTAGACACCATGTAGTCTGATCCCATCGATTTCTAGATGAGGAAACTAAGAACTAGGAAAGTTAAATGACTTGTCCAAGGTCACATGCTACCAGTGTTAGAACTGGGGGCATCCAGAACAGTCATTCATCCAACCAGTGTTTACTGAACGATTTCTGCAGTCCCCAGTGCTAAGCTTCCACATTGCCTGTCCTCAGGGGACGTCTCAGCGTGGTTGGGACACAAAAACTCTTAAAAAGAAAAAAAAAAACCAATGCCAGTTTAAACCTGCTCAGGGCCACATGAGAGTTCCAGTAATGAGAAGAATCCTGGATTTGGAGTCTGAAGCCCTGAGTTATATTTGTATTCTGAGTGCTTAACATTGTTCCTGGGACATGGCGAAAGATTCAATCAATCAATAAAGACTTATTAAGCACCTACTATGTGCCAGGCACTGTGCTAAATACTGGGGATCCAAAAAGAGGCACAAGGCAGCCCCTGCCCTCAAGGAGCTGACAATCTAATGGGAAGGAGACATCATTCCAACAAACATATACAAAGAAAGCTATGTGCAGGATAAATAGGAAATCATTAAAACATGGTAAGCCCTGGATTCAAAAATGCCTTTTCATTCATTCACTCTTTCATTTGGTCATTCCCTCATTCGCAGTTCTTATTTACTGCTATTGACCTTTTATTTCTCTGGGCCACAATTTCCTACTTCGTAAACAAAGGGGGTGACATCTATGGTCCCTTCCAACTTGACAGCCTATGATCCTGTACAGGGCTGTAGGGTATGTGGAGACAGAAAGAGAAATCCTTCTGGCCTGGTGTCACTGATGGGGAGCTTGAGCTCTCCTCTGAGGTGGGAGCAGGATTGGAAAGTCAGAGGGAAGGGGAAGGGAATTCAAGGCAGGGGAGTCCTCATAAGGATACTGTAAGACAGTCCTGGCATGGATTATCATCCCCATTTTACCGATGAGAAAATGAAAGAGAGGGAAGATACCTTGCTCAGAGTCAGAACAATATGTCAGAACTGGAATGAGAACTCAGGTCTTCTGACTCCAATAATAATAATAGCAAACATTTATACAGTGCTACTACATGTCAGGCACTGTCCTATTTGTTTTACAATTGCTGCTCATTTGATCCTCATAGCGCCTCTAAGAGGTAGGTGCTATTATCATCCCCACTTCACAGTGAAGGAAACTAAGGTAAAAAGAGGTTAAAAGACTTGCCAGTAACACAGTTAGTAATTGTCTGGGAGTACATTTAAACTTAGATCTCCCTGACTTTCAGAGCCAGTGCTCTATCTACTCTGCCACCTAACTGCCCCTCTCTTTTCACTATATCACAATGTCTCCCAGTAAGGAGACCACATTTTTCTAGAGTGAAAGGTACATATTAGGAAATCTTGGCATGTGGAGGCCTCCCCGCCATCCCAATGCTACTCACTTCCCCAGATTGCAGATTCAGGATTGAGAGACGAAAGAGGTTTTCTGATCCGGACTTCGTGTTGTATTCCTGAATGAATTCATTCACCAAATCCTGGTACCTCCGGTCCCGGGCATAAACAAGTGGAGTCATCAGGCTGAGCAGCCCCAGCACCAATAGGGCTACCTGCATGGCCCAGCCACTCTGCATCTTCATCCTCTTGGCCCTCAATGCTGTGGCCAGGAAGGAGCTATCTTTTATTCACTGGCTCCTCCCCAGCCTTACATAAGGGCAAGGGGTTCCTACAGCCATTGGGTTCCAACAGTTCCCTGAGGTCTGTGGTTTCCCTCATTCTTTTGTCATTGGTCACTTTTTGTCCCCAGGGCTGGGAGTTCTCTCCTTCAATTTCCTCATAGAGCCCTGGAGTTGACCAAAAGGAAGTATTGGGGAAAGAAGGGAAGTATGGGGAAAAGATGGACGAGGAGGGCAGGAAGATTAGGCAGGTTGAGGAATATGAAGAAATAAATATTTTCCCCATCTCTCTCTGTCTTAACAAAGTCCTGGGGGGCCTGCAGATGGGTGGATGGTCCAAAGAACTGGCGCATTGGGTTCCCTTTCCAATTACTCAAGGAACTTTGCAATAGAGTTAAGGTTGCTCATACTCACCTCTGTATAATCCTCTGATACTTCCCAAAATGCTCAGGCCTCTATCCTCCAAAAGCAGAGAGTCCACGTGTCAACAAGAGATTTTGTGTTCCCTCTACAATTCCTAATTCCCTGTAGTAAAGCCTTCCTTGATAGGCCTCTGCCTCCAGCCCACTCAGTTCCACAAATCTTCATGCTGAGAGATCAGCCCTCTAGGCTATCCATGGAACAGAATATCATAACCCAGACAATAGCTTTTCTTCGGCCAGAAGAGGTGACTTTAAGCAGAGCCCTGAAAGAGGATAAGGATTCTGAGAGGAAGAGCTAGAGATTGAACACATTGTTGACCTAGGGGATTCCTGGCCTGTGCAGATCCAAAGAAGTGGAAGTTATAATTCAGGCAAAAGAATAGGCCATGGTTGGCATAGCAAGGTACAGACAGAGAGTTAGCAAGTCAGTTACTAACAATTGGTGGGTAGGTAGGGCAGAGGAGGGAAGAATCAGCAAAAGTCTGTTGTAGGATGTGGTACCTTACAGGGAGCAAGGTAGGGATTCTAAAAGGTGGATATGAGGAGAGAGAACATTCCAAATATCGTGGACCCCCTCTGCAAAGGCACAGTGGTGGGACACGATCTGTCAGATACAGAGAATAGCAAGCAATCCAGTTTAGCAGAAATGTAGACTATGTGAAAGGCAGTTAGATGAAATCAGTGCAGAAAGAAGGTGGGAGCCAGAATGTGAAAGGCTTTCAGCGTCTAACAGAAGAGTTTGGATTTCATCCTAGCGGCAATGGAAGGCAGTGCAGTGACATGGTCAGACTTATGCTTTAGGCATATTAATGTGGCAGCTATGGGGACCATAGATTGAAGAAGGGAGACACTGAAGAGAGGAATCCCACTTAGGAGGCTGATGTTAACAATCCAGTTGAGGACAGGCAAAGATGTCAAAAAGTACAGATGGGGGAGCAGCTCTCCTGTAACTATAGGAGATAGCCTATACCAATGCAGGAAGGCAGGACAGAGCAGGATGGGATGGGGGGAACAGAGAGTAATCCAGTTTCTCTGAAATGAAGAATACATTGCTTCCCAAAGAATTCCTTCCACATATCCATTCTCCAATGTTACAAAAAAACATAGTCAAGAAAAATAAATCAACAAATTAGCTGTGTCTACATATGTATGCCTCATTATTTTTTATTGCTATTGTTTTTTAATTTTTTAATTTTTAGTTCTTAACATTCACTTCCCAAAGATTTTGAGTTCCAAATTTTCTCCCCATCTCTCCCCCTCCCACCCCAAGACAGCAAGCATTCATTCTGAATGCCTCTTCCCCCATCTGCCCTCCCATTCTATCACTCCCCACATTCTCTTATCCCCTTCCCCTGTACTGTGATCTGGTAGAATAGCAAGCTGGATTTGGAGTCAGAAGACTCCCACACAATCTTTATGGTTAGAGAAGTAAAGTGAGGCCCAGAGAGGATCAATGATTTGCCCAAGGTTGTACAACTACTAGTTGGCAATGCCTGAATTTGAACCCAAGTCCTCTCTGACTCCAAATTCCTGCTGACTTCTCAAGGGATGAAGTCTTTCCCAATTCCCTGACTGCTAGTGCACCTTCTCCCCAAACTACCTTGAATTAAGTACTTCGTGCACATATTCTTCGTTTCACCCTCTATTTCTGATGTAAATATTTCGATATTCAGTCATTGAGAGTAGGGATGGTTTCAAGTCCAGGGATTCTTTCCACGCCCCTGCCAATCTTGCTACTCCTTGTAAACATTTGTAAAAAGAGGGAGTTGGTTAGATGACCTCAAAGGTCCCTTCCTCCTCTAAATTGAAGATTGTGCATGATCTATAACAGTGGTGTCAAATACAGAGCCCAACGCAGTCAATATCAGTGCTGAGGAAACCAGATTAAAACGTAAATGGTAAACATTTAACAAAATAAATGAAAATACAAGAGAACATAGTTAATATTATTTTATGTTTTTCTAACTCAATGTCAGTAGGCAGAGATCCTTGTGAGGGCTTTGTGGTCTGTTTCCACTTGGGTTTCACACCACTAATCTATAAAATGAGAGCAAAAAGCATTGTGGTGCAATGGAAAGAGTTGAATGGAAAGACTTGAAGGCAGAGGCCTGGATTTAAAACCTGTTTCTACCATTTACTATCTATATGTTCTTGAGCAAGTCTCTTGGCTTCTCCAAGTCTCAGTTTATTCATCTGTAAAAATAATGAGTGGTGGACTTAATGACCTCTGAGGCCTATTTCAGATTTAAATCTGTGCTCCTACAGGCCAATTCTACCCACCTTTATAATTACATCTCATTCTAGGAGGAAGGTATCTGCTCCTGTGGACTGCTGACAGCCCTGAGCATCTTGAATCGGCTTGGAGGGAAACAGGTGGAGTACATTGTACAGTAATTGATGAATCTCCTCTTTGGTCCCCTTCCTATCAGGATCTGTAGAGAGAGGAGATTCCTCAAGTGAAATTATTTGAAAAGCCATTGATTAATCCCTGGGAGTGGCCCAGGCCCATCCCCCACTCTCAGAACTTTCTAGGGATATAAATAAGGCCCTAGTGAAAGGAAGGTTATAGGCCAAAGAAGCAAAATGGCAGGCTTCAGAATTGGGCTTCCTCTGTTCCTTCTGGGGCTGATTGAGGTGAAAGCTGCTAACAACCAAAGACTGACCTATTACGATGCCCTGACAATGGCTGTCACCTATTTCAACAAAGAGACTGACGAGAAGAATTCCTCCTGGTTTACAGCAGCTGAGCCCCCGCCTGACTGAGTGAGCACTTGTGAGGAACAAGAAGAAAAAGGGGAACAGGAGCTAGGGACTGGGCTCTGGCAGAGAGATCCAGGATCACAGGTCTAGACATAAAAAGGACCTTAAAGAGATTCTTGGGGGAAAGGGTGGTGTGGGGATCGGTTTCAGGCAATCTGTGAATTTGAATGAGAAAAAAAAGGATGTTCACTGACCTTCGACTTCCTTTGTAATCCTATGTAATTTATTTTATGCATTGAAAATGGTTATTCTCAGTCCATAGGCTTCCCCAGACTGTCAAAGGGGTCTGTGAGACACAACTCTTGCTCTAGTCTAATCCCCTTTATTTTACACACAAGGAAAGTGAGGCCCAGAGAGCTCAAGTGATGCCTTGTGTCACTCAGATAAGTGTCAGAGGTAGGATTTGAACACAGGTCCTCTGATTCCAAAGTCAGTGGCCAATTCCATTGTACTCTACCAAACAGGGCACAAGAAAAGGACAGGAGGCAGAATCCCTGACCTGGGAATAGGAATCACTGCTACTGTCTTCTATAGTGTCTCACTGTTGACAAGACATTTATCTGCCCTCCTAATCCACCCCTGAGACATGGGCAGTGTACCAGTGCTCATGCAGGTAGTAATGAACACAACCAAGATTTGAACCCAGATCTGCTCCCTACAAATTGGTGATTCACAGAGGCTGGAGCTAGAAGCAACCTGAGACATCTTCTAGTCTGAGGCTTTCCTTTTACAGATGAGAAAGCTGGGCCAAGACTCTGGCTATACAGATGTTTAGTGGAAGACCCAAGATTTACTTTTGCCTCAGGGCCTAGGGTCCTTTCTGCTGTACACCAGCTGCCTCGTGGATCCAGCTTAATTCAGTGATTGTCCATCTCAGGATGGGAAAGTAGCAAATCATGCAAAGTGGAAGGTGGCTATGGGCCCTACTCCAGTGGCCTGTATTAGCATAATTCCTAATGGCAGATTCTGGTCCCTACTCCAGCACTGATGTGTAATATGTTCTTGGGCAGGTTCTTTTCACTTTTTAAGACACGCTCCCTTTTATTACAACCCCAGCAATGAAGAAACATTTACTACTATGTGTCAGGCACCACGCTGAGTGCTGGTAGAAATTAAAGGCAGTTCTCACATACCCTAAGGTGCTCTTTAGGTCTACAGACCTCTCCCCCTGTCTTGGAGAGCCATGTGTGTCTCCACCCCCTCCTCCTGTCTAGGCTTCTGCCACCCCAAGGGGCTTAGGGTATGGCAGCAGTCAACCCCTGGTAATCCCTTCCAACACACACACACACGCACACACACACACACACACACACACACACACACACACACACACACTCACATACATACACACACACACACAGCCTGACCAAATTCAGTGCCGGCAGCTGAGGACCTCTCCCTAGGGGTTACCACCTTTCCAGCTGCGACTGGACCCAAATTTGCAGAAGGAAAGAACTGTATGTATTATGCCCTCCTCTCATTTTTAGGTGAGGATACTAACACAGAAAAAAAGGAAATGAGGAAAAAACAGTTAGTAAAGTTTCCCACTACTGGAAGTCTTCAAGCAGAGGCAGAATGACCACTGGTCACAGAGATTGCACGGGGGGTTCTCTTCAGATTGGCTTAAATGACCTCTGAGGAGTCTTCTAAATCTATTTCTGTGACTTGCTGAAGGTCTTAAAAACATGAAGTGACAGAGCAGAGATTGGAACCCTGCTCCTGTACTTCACACTTCACTGAGCTTCTAAATACAGCAGACTGCATCCCTACCCCCTCCCTAGTGTGCTGTAGTGAAGATGAAAAGGACTTGAAGATAGGC